CATCGTTCCCATGCCTCGTCGCGTGGTGGTAAGGGTCCGTCCTCTCGCTGCCCCCGTCCTCGTCCTTTCGGTGTCGCCCCGTGCCCGTTGTGCGGTTGTCGACCCCGGTACCTGTGTACCGGTGTCGGTAGTCGTTCGTGGGTGCGTGTGGTGACCGTGTTTGTGTGCCCGCTCAGTAGCCGCGTGGTGTCCACGTGTGCAGTCCGCATGGTGTCTAGTGGAGTCCGTTTGTCGGCCACTCGCCTCGGTTGACACATGGGGTCTGCTTCCGTCGACCCGTGGACCGTCTCTGTGTACTTGGTGTACCGTGGTCCCTTAGGTTGACATGTGGGGTCCGCATGTCAACAAGCGCAACCTTCTTGTCTTTTCCAGGCTAGCGGTCACACATGTTTTATAGTTGCAAAACCTAATTACAATAATCCGTAAATCTCCACGTGACAGCATTAAACTTCAGATGACCATGTCTTGATCATATGAACCCCGAATCGACCCGTTCAAGTCTCCTAATGTTTGTTATAACCTAAAGAACCCTGTGCTTTCCTTTTTATGTATTGTTATTGCTTCTTTATAGGCTTGTAGCTTTGCTTGTGTGCTTCGCGTAGCTTCTGTCGTTCTGGAGGTTTCTGAAGTGTGGTTCGCGGTCGTCGCCGAAGGTTCGGAATGCCGTCTTCTCTGAGCAAGGCAAGTCGCATCACCCTTGAGCATATTGAATCCCAGTTTATAAAATTATTTTGATTTAAATTATTGCATTACCGTTTTACTTAAATTCCCGCGTTATCACTGTTTTATTTAGCCATGCCTATTTACCTTTGTTATGACCTTATTATTATTGCTATTGTTATTATTACCTTGTTCACCCTAGGATAAACAAAACCCCAACTAGTGGGTATTCTATTAACGGTTCCACTAGTATGAATTTAGGTAGATGCTTCGCTGATTAATTAGGCAACACTAGGTGGTTTTATAACTTTAGACTTTGGGAATTCTCATATCATTTGGACAGTATGGAATGGTTGGCTTATGTTGGAATTGGACACACACCTCCCCCTCTATTCAAAACCCCCAAAATGGTTTTAGGCTGGGCTCGAGGTGCATGGTTCTACTAGTAGCACCTCGGCCACTATAAGGACCGGTCTTCAGGCCTCTGTTGCAAAGCACTACCGTACTAACCACATGTCTAATGGGTAAGGCTTAACTCGGTGCTCAGTCTAGTCCTGGCAAGAGTATGAAGTCGGGGCTCGATGGACATCTCTAGGGCAAATGAAGGCTACACGGGCTGTGGCTCTGTAGTCGAGATGTCATGGCACAGGGCCGGTGTCCTGCTGCTAGGGGCTCAATCTTACCTGCCTGTCTCGAGATTCCTGCCGTAGGTGAGGTTGGGTCGGTGCTTTTGTCACAGCTAGGATGGGTAAAGGGGTTATGTCACATCCTTTACGACGGGTTCCACGGCCGTGGAATGCAGAGTAAAGATGTGTCTTGTGGGTAAAGATGTACACCTCTGATCAGAGTATAATCTATTCGAATAGCCGCGCCCTCGGTTATGGGCAAGCCTAGCAATGTACCCAAGTTAGTGGTTTAATTCTTAAAACTTGCTTAACAACTAAAATGTAGAATGGTTGGCCTGGGTTGGCTTGGGACGAGCTGGGACCCAGGTCGGGTTGCCAGTTCGGTCTGAATCATCGTAGGCCTTGGGTTAAGGCAGGTTCGTGCGGGTTCACGGCCTTGATTAATAATACTGTGTAGCTCTAGGATCGTCTTTATAAAATAGCTTTGGGCAACTAAGTGACTTTTAAATGCTGTTTACTGCAAAACTTAACCCCTATATTATTACCCCTTGTACCCCCTTGCATTAATCATGCATCTCCCGGTGTGGCTTGCTGAGTACTGTGGTTGTACTCATTGTTGCTCTATCTTTCCTCCCTTCAGTAAGAGAAACTTTAGAGAAGAAGTCTTAGGTGGAGCCCTGGCTTATACCCCAGTTGAGCACCTGTGAAGATGGAGCCGTAGGCCCGCTAGTCCGCTGCTGTTTATTTTTGTTTGTCAGGCCTGAAGCGCCTTTGTAATAATGTAAATATTATCGATATAATAAAGATGTGTCTTTTATATCATGTTTGTGTGGTGTACCCCAGCTTTTCCTGGGACGGGGATTAATACACTAGCGTTCGGGAAAATGCAAATTTTCTCGATCACGACAGTATATGGGTAGGTAAGGGATATTAAAGAGATACAATTTCTCAATGTAGACTGGGAATTTGGGATAGGTAATAGCCTAGAAATAAGTTTATTTTGGGATAAACTAGAAATCAACTTATTTTTTGACGGAGGGAGTACTCTCTTGCTTACTCCCCATACTAAATCAGGAAGTTTTACCCCTTCAATATTCCTTACCAACCCACCCACCCACCTACTTTTCTATTAGCGATGGGGCACTTTTCCATGCCTATTGCCTTGAGATGCTTTCAACTATTTTATAAATTCTTTTATTTCTTTAGTTGTTGGCTTTTGCATGTGTCGTTTTGTAGTTACTGCTTTCATCTACGTCATAACCATAGCCACTGAAAACTAACTAGCACAACACTCCAACTGGGTGTTGTTGGTTCCTCATAAAGCATCCAATGTTGAGAGAATATTGAAGTTGCGGTGGTGGTGTCATGAATTGCACGACTTTACCACTAGGACTGAAATCCTAGTGTCCACGAATGTTGTGTGTACCATCAATAGAATTTACGGATGTTAGTGATTTGTTGTTAGTCTTCAATTTTTTAAGCTTATTTTAGGTTGCACTTATGGATCTTCTCATATCTGTGTAATTGCTTGACTTGTGATGCGTGATTGTTAGAATGACATAAATATATAAATTGTAATACAAACCATTACAGATTAGTGAATCAACGATGATTTGGGGCCGACGGTTAGCTGGCTATTGATAACCATTGCATATTGCCTTCTTTAGGTAGTGGCAATCGACAAGTTATAGATCATGTTACTCATGTGGTTGCACCAACTTGTTCTTTTTTCTTATAATTTTGGTTGTGCAAACCATTTGAGATGTTGCAAGCATGTATTGAATGTTGCGATAACACTTTCTTCATAAAACTCTCTAATTTTGTATATGGACAACTTAAAAGAATAACAACATTATTGTAGTCCTTTTATATCAACTCCATGAGTATGTTACTACGACCGAGAGTTTCTTCACAGGGAATCTAAACAACACAACTTCGCGAGAAAGCATCTTTGGTATAATGGTAGAGGTGGAGTTATGGTTGTATGACTCCACACACCCTTGTAGCTACGACTCGTGCAATGTTTTCAACTATTTTTTTGCACATGTCATTGTCGATGTTGTTTTCATAGTGTGAGATCAGGAGCCTCCAAAAACTGACTAGCATGAGTGATGGTCCGTTGCTCGGAAAATACAAAATGAATGACGGTGATCTCGTGATTCATGACTACCCACCAGAATTCAAATACTGGTGCCCATAGCTTTTGATTGTGTTTAGTGATTTACCACTAGTCTCAGTTTTGTTAAAAAATATGTTAAAGGCACATTATTTGTTATAAAAATGTGTTAAAGACACATTATATGTGAAGTAGAGTAGCATTTTTGCCCATGCAAGTTCCTCTTATATACTCAATAAATATCCAACTTACTCATTCTGTCGTAAATAGGTTGATATCTACAGCCCAAACTTTGTCACAAATATATGATTTTTCCTACTCTCTTACCTCTCCTCGACTCGTAAATCAAGAAGTTCCGTTCAGTATCCCTTACCTAGCTACCCACCGTACTAATTTCTATTGGTAGTGGACACTTTGGTCGTTTTTTCTACCTAATCCATCCTTAAAACATATGGATTCACAGGGATGCAACTTTGTCTAAAGGTAAGTTGATTTCTACCCTTTGGTCTATATGTCGTGATATTTTATCCTTTCAATACTTCTTACCTCCCCCAATAAATACTACTTTCCTATTAATTAAGAATGTAGTCCTTTTCTCTCACCACTAAAATTGCTTCAGGATATGAGTGCTTAATTTATTTTGGTAACAAGGAAGTAAATTGCCCTGGAATGAAACGATACATTTAAAACATCAGGGGTAGTCACTTTTTTCCTAAAATAAAACGACTCCTATCATCCTAAGAAAATGTTAAAAAGCAGGAGAAAAGAAAAAAAACACCTTAAGAAAAAGAGATTTGAAGGATAAGACGTCCCTACAAATATTTTTTTATGAAAAAATTATGTATGTGTCGGGGTATTAAACGTGAGATCTTGGATTAAAAAAAACACACCCCTTATCAATGTAATATCAACTGCATATAATAAGAAAGTAGCATTGGAGGTTGAGCAGTTAAAGGGTATTTAAAAATAAAATTTCTAAATACTCATAAAGTTAGAATCAATTTATTTTAGAACACAATTTAAACTTAGTAAATTTATTTTATGCGGAGCAGTAATCTACAACGTCCACCCACACGAGACCGTCATGTTCTCCACCGCATTTATCCATCGCTTTGACCGGGTGTGCGTCAGATACCTACGTTGACCCAGCCACGCAGGACCCACCGGTCCCCCACACACCTCACTCTCTCTCCCACCATCTCACTGACAAGTGGGACCACCATAAGCTGGAATAATTGGTGTCCTCGAGCACGGGGCACGTGAAAATCCCCAAAAGTTTTATCGCTGCATTAATTTTCTGTACTACTAGTACTTAAAAAAACAACAGTAAATAAATACTCCAAGACAAAGCTACAGCTAATCAATCGCTTACGTCCCACCGCGACTCGTGTGAACGCGTCCAAAATTTTCCTCGAGAAAATAAATTTGGAAACAGCTCGTTCGCCGGGTCATGTGAACGCGGACGAAAAAGAGAAAAATATCTTACCAACTGAATTTTCTAGTAACTCCTCGGTTACGCGGAAATTATAAATACGGGATAAAGAGCGGCCAAATTTAGCTACACCAAGTAACGCCTGAGAATTCCGCGGATTTTAAGGGGACTAAAGTGTAAAAGTGTCCCGCTACCGAGTCCGACTCCTCTCTTCTCCATATATATATATATAATTTCTAGGGTTCAAGCTATTTTATTCACCTTTTGATTTTCCGGTAAATCCAATTTTTCTCTCTTCTCTAGTCTCTCTTTTTGTTTCGTCGTAGATTTCTTGGAGAATTTTGGTCGTGAAAATTTTCGAGGAGCCGTGGAGTTTGTGAGGAGACGGTGGAATAATAAGATGGGGAATTTTAGCGCGGCTTGGTTCGTCCATCGATAAATTCCTCTATTTTTTCCGTGTACTTATATTTTTTTTGGCCGTATTTCGTAGCGAGAAAATTTTCCCGGTGAAAATTCTCTCTGTTTTTTTTTTTGCTTTTCCCCTTATTTCCGCGCAACTGTGAAAAAGAAAAAAACGAATCTTGTGAAAAGGAAAAAGGGGAAAAGAAAAGAGAAAATCGGGGAGTTTGTAGCAGTTGTTTGCTAGTGTTTGAGCTGGAGTACACTCTCCCGTGCGCTTTCTTGATCTCGTTGAATTCCGCGCTGATTTCCGAGTTCGTGGGAATCGTTTGTGCGCGGAGGGGGTAGCTGGGCGAGGTCTTGGGGGGTGATTTTTGCGGAGAAATTCTGTTGTTGTTGGATGCAAGGAGGGGCCATGTCGGCGGCGGCGACGGCGACGGCGAGCGAGGCGGCGGCGTACGGCGGCGTGGGCATGAGCAAGAGCGGGGCCCTGCAGCCTCAGCCGCCGCACGGCGCCGCCGCCGCGGTGCGCCTCGCCTACACCCACGACGGCATCGCGGTGTACAAGCACACGCCGCCGCCGCCGGTGTACCAGACGCCGGCCGCCGTCGCCGCCCCGTCGCCGCCCGTCCGCGGCAATGGCGGTGCGCCCGCGTCCGCCGAGCAGCACAAGCGCAAGCGCGGCCGACCGCGCAAGTACGCCGTCACGGACGTGCCGCTCGCCGTCGTGCCACCCTCGCCGCCAAAGGCTGCGGCCGCCGCCGGCGCCAGCGCCGCCCAGTCTCCGGCGACGCCCACGCTGCCGCCGGGCTTCTCGTCGGGCCTGGCCGCGTACGGAGGCGCCGCGGCGAGCCAGCCGGCGCCACGTCAGGCTCCGCCGGCATCCGGGCGCGTGCTACCTCACAAGAAGAGGGGCCGGCCGCCGGGCTCCGGCAACAAACAGCAGCAGCGGCCTCAGCACAAGAAGGCAGCAGCTCCAGGTATAATGCTTTGTCTTGTGCCTTGTTTGTTGTAGCAACTACTCACTTCGTGTTACTATATTGGATATATGATGGTATTCCTTTGTGATACATGTATAGTTGTATACTCTCCGTTTAACAAACCAATCTAGGGAGGATTTGACATAACCTTCTGTTCAGATTCATTATCCTAGGTTATATCAAATTCTCTCTTAAATTGGTTTATTTTGCGAGGGAGTGAGAGAATGCTACTTCAATCAGTATGGGCAAAAGGGCATCTGGTATTTTTTGGTTGTTGTCGTGGTGACAAGCAGACAGCAGCACGCCATAAGAGTATGTAGGCATGAGGATGAAGGGGACTAGAGTTGTGGGGGGGAGGGAATGGAATATCTGCTGATGATGATAATGACCTTTATGCCCTTGGTGTTGCTATGCGCTTGTAGTAGTTGCTGGAAGTTTCTTTCTGAGGATGAACCCAACTGGAAGTTCGTGGGTTGTGTTCAGTTGTTCTACTGTATTCAGGATCACTGCTTCAAGGTGAATTGGTGTAGTAGTGATCATATTATGGATATGAGAACCTGTCCTGCTAGTTCATTCTGAAAAGTAACACTGCTTTAGTTCTATTTTTGCTTATGAGTAATTGTGGTTTTAGCTCATTTATCCTCTGATGTCTGTGGAATAGGTGTTTATGTAAACCCTGTCTTGTGGGTTTTGTTGATCTACATTGCCAATAAAGATGTTCTAATTCCATCATTAAAATTAATTGTTTGTTGAAAAAGGGAGTATTTGTTATCCTTTTCCTTAGCTGGAATTATCTGGCCATTCATCCCTTTTTGAATTTGATTCTGGGAATTTTAGTAACAATAGTTGCAATTGTTTCTTAGCTGGAATTATCTGGCCATTCACCCCTTTTTGAATTTGATTCTGGGATTTTAATAACAATAGTTGCAATTGTTTTTTTGCCTCTCATAGTTAGTTTCCTAATGCATGGCTACTCTTAGAATCCTGTGTTGCTATTTCTTCAAGAATTATACCAAAGATTGTGAAACATTTGGAAGGTGTTAGTTCTATCTAGTGCCTTATGCTCATGAGTGCTTTGAATCATCAGTTTATCTTTATTACAATATTATCTGTACTTCATTAATATGAAAATTTTCTTTGAATTCTTGCAGGATCTAGTGTGATTGGATTGAAGCCTAGCGTCATCACAGTGCAAGTTGGAGAGGTACAGTGTTACTATCCCAGGCATATCCTAGAGATGCCCTTTTGTGGTGTTAGGATTTTCTTTTATTAAGATATCATCATATTTGGTGGTCTAACTTACAAAATCTGTACATGCCCTTTTAGGCAATATGCTCTGTTTTTAATTTTTTAGCTGTACTCAGTATTTATTGTGCCAATGAAGGTCCTTTTTTATAGTTTTTGATGCAAAGTTTGTTCTTACTATGTGATTGCTGTTTCTCTATCATGCTTTACATATCAATTTCTTTTAATTTTTTAATACAATGTCTTTTTCTTGGTGTACTGGTGATGAAGCTTTGCTTAATTCTCTAGGATGATTAACTTTCCATTTGTCAACAGTTTTTGCAACAAGTACGGTCTATCTCTATTCAATACACTTTAGGTGTAAAGTTAGTTTGTTAGTTGTTTCATCAAGCTCCCTGCTTGAATGCACACCAGTCAAATGAATATTTTTCATTATTGTACATTTCAAATCTTTAACTGAACTCAAGCTATAATAAATTTTATTTTCTTCATTCAGCCTCATGATATCAATTTAGTATTTGTTGCTGCCAATTTTTTTTTGTGTGCTTTTTTTATTGAATTGCCAGATGCAAACAGATGAATACCTCTATTTGCGTAAATTTGATCTGTCCATGTATTCTCTTAAATGATTGACCTATTCCCATCAAGAATTATTCCCTAAATAATGCATATTTGTGAATGATAATTCTTCAAGAATTTGTGGTGATAATATACAGAATATATGGAACCAGTTTCACGTCCCTTTGAATTGTATGCTTATTATTAGTTCATATGGACCGTCAATAGTAATGTGCAAACATTGGTTGGAACTCTTTTTTTTTTTTTTGAATCTGTGTACTTATTAATATAATTCAATAATTTAATAAATATATACAGGGTTGCTATAAATTTCGTCTGCACAGAAAATAACTGAATTCAGATATGCATGACCTATGTCTTATTTTAGTCTTTTTCAGTTGAAAATATGTAAAACCATAATAAAATTATATGGGAACATGCTGTAGCTAACATTCGTTGTTTGTGACTGGCCTTCCCATGTTTTTCAGCTGTTCTATTCAAAGTTCTTTTGTACCTCTCTTTTAGTCATATGGTAAACTGCTAATGAGGATTTGTGATTTTCAGGATGTAGTGTCCAGGGTGATGTCCTTTACTAAGAATGGATGGGCTGTTTGTGTTCTCTCAGCTAATGGTGCTGTATCCAACATGACACTGCGTCAAGCAGGTTCTTCTGGTGCAACAACAGTAAATTATGAGGTTTGATCCATTTTCTCAGTAGGAATTTTCTATATTCTCCCTTTTTTTTAATAAATTGCACTACAGTGTGATTTGTCCAAACCAGTAGAAGAAATATTTTAGTATGCTGTGCAGCTGGGGTATTGAGCCAGTGACCTGAATGTTCCAGTCCACAGTTCAAACCAAGTGAATTTAAGCTCATTCTTGGTCTGTCATGACCCGAGGCCATGACGAGCTGGGGTATTGAGCCACTGATCTGAATGTTCCAGCCCCCAGTTCAAACCAAGTGAATTTAAGCTCATTCTTGGTCTGTCATGACCCGAGGCCATGACGGGATAAACACCGCCGGGAAGATAGCCAGGCGGTGTCGGCCCCTGGAGAAGGGATGTAGATTTCGGCTAGGAAGGAAGAGATTAGACTAATTGATATTCATTGCTTAATGATAATAGATACAGTCCCATCCTTATATAGATGGTATAGCTTGACCTCTAAGTGAGGATTCAATATAATCTTATCTCTAACTTAACTAATAATCTTATCTCTAACTTAATTGATATGGGCTGCCTATGGGCCTCCGCCTTCCGGCCCATTGCACATGACATGGTCTGTAGACGGCATAGAATCAATATTATTGAACCATATGGTCTGACTAGAAAAAAAAAGCATTGGTTTGACCGGTGAACCTTGAACCTATGACTTCACCAGTCCAATTTTTGTACTATGATGTACCTCAGCTCCTGCCAAACTTTCAAGATTATAATGGCAGAAGTATTGTGAGGTTGTATTTACGAAAAGTACCACTTTATGCCTTTCACCATTATTGCATTCAAAGCATACAATTAGTATTTTTGAAATAAATGTTGTTTGAAATTTTGAATTCTAAATTTGCATACAGTTTTCAAAATGTCATAATTCTTTGCGTTCAACGTGCAGGGCCATTTTGAGATTCTTTCTTTGTCTGGCTCATATCTGCTGTCAGAAAGTGTTGGCCTGAGCAGTCGAGCTGGGGGACTTAGTGTTTCACTTGCTGGTCCTGACGGACGTGTTTTAGGTGGCGGAGTAGCAGGACCTCTGAATGCAGCTACACCTGTTCAGGTTTCTACTTTTCACTGAAAGTACTTGATATTGATTATCTGACCCTAATGTTGATATGATGAAAACATCAATAGTTTTGGATCTTGTTCTCTTTTGTTTCTCTACTAGAATGCCCTATGCTGTCAATTAGATTAACCATGAATTATAACTCACTTGCCAAATGACATTATGCAACAGAGTACTATCTCTACGAAACATAGTTGAACGCAACGTTTTCAAACATTGGCTTTGTCCTTACCAAACTTTCATGCTTTCAAGAAAGTTTGTCTAATGGATTGTTTCATTGTACTTGGTGTTCAGGTGGTCATTGGAAGCTTTCTGGCTGATGTGAAGAAGGGGCACAAACAGGCCATGCCGAGTGGGGCTCCGTATCCAGGTGTGAGCACTCCAACATCCAGAGGGACTCCCAGTGGATCCTCAGGTGGGCCTGGTAGCCCCCTAAACCAAAGTGCAAGTGGCTCATTTAACACCAGCAACCAACAAGCCTTGGCTGACTTCCCATGGAGATGAGCTTGGTGGTTCTGATGATCTTTCAGCCTTCAGCTAAAGTCATTGGTGGTTCTGATGAGGGGATTGGGGTTTGTAGCTATTGGACCTCAAGAGGTAAACATAATTTGGTGGTTTCGGCTGTCGCTTCGTTTATTAGACAGGTTGTTATCTCTCAAGTTTAGGTGCTGAAAATGTCAGCTCTTAGTTTAGGTGCTCCTAGACACCTAGTGTTCAGAGAAATCAGCTTGAAAGGAAAAGCTGAGAAAAAAATTTGTTGGCTTCAATGCACCCCTGGATGTCATGTGGTTAAGTTACCATGTCGAAATGTGTGGTGCTGTTTTAAGGTACACCTGTTCTTATTACTCTTTGTTTAGTGAGGGAATGCTGCATGGTTGCTTATGCACACGTAGGATTGGGCTCTAATTCTGTAATTCCATTTCCATCCCGGCTGGCCTGCCAAGGGCTAGCCGGCGTGGACTTGCCGGCCTTCCAAGGAGATGGCCCACCCAGCCCCCGAGCTTCACTTGGTTTTGGTTGGTCCGGGTTTTTGTTGAGTTAATAATTACAATTTGGGAGAAACATTGACGATCTAACTATAACCGTACAAGATTTTACTGTGTTGCTTATTAGCAATTGATACACCTCTTTATGGTTTGTTGATCTTGCTGGTGCAGATCAACTTTATTACTGCAAGAAAATCGAAGAAACAAGAACAAGATAAAAGCAATATATATTGTAAATAGGAATTGATTACACATAATAAGTTGGGGTTCCGAAGACGAGTAATTAGGTGGTCTAGCCAACACGCACAACTACAAGGTGAAGTAGCAATGGCTAAACTTCAATCTAAACAAAACCCAAGAAACTCTAAAGAGATATCTATCTATTTAAGGAGATGGGAGGATGACCAAGGGTTCCTTAAGGTCGTGCTCCACCAGGTTGAGGTGCACCCCACTTATGCTTGGAGTCCCAAACAAAGTTATAAGCCCAAAGGCCCATGATAGGTGGTGCAATAACTTGTTTATTCAATTGCGGATGACTGAAATAAATTTTGGACATGAGGCCAAATACATTAGAAAGAGGACTTTAAGTGTTTTCCACCAAGTACTCATCGGCCAAAAAGGAGCTCGTACGCATATTTGGCGATCGTTTGAATTGAACACTGTAGCAGGTAGTCGAATTGGATTTCAAAACTTGGACAGTTTGATCTTGATGTCTTCCAGTTGACCTATGATGTGAGCAACGATTGTATCAAGAGTAGCCATATGTCACATCACCATAGGTATGACCTTACAACATCTGAGGCGGCAAAACCGTCATCAGGAGGTGATCCTAGCCGTCCATCATCTCTACCATCATAGTGGACAGCCGGCCAACCCCTAGGTCAGCCGACAAATACCCTCTGCACTCACTTAGGGTTTATTTTCAGTAGTTTAGCATTCACTCGTCCATCCCACTCATACACATTTCATTAATTCATTAACATTTGAGTAGAGTGTGGAGGAGTCTGAGTTGGATCCACCAACTCTAGTTTGGAGGATAGGAAAAGTTCCATTAGGAGTGGAGCGGAGTGGAGCGGAGCGGTAATGATGTCGTATTTTTCTGAATTTCGTACATTTTGAGCAATATAAATTTTATCTTGTATCCGTTCCTAGTACTTCAACATTTACTTTTTAGTTTTTATTTCCTTGTGGAATACTTGTCTGATCAATGTTTTAACCGATCGTTGTTTATGTATAGCTTAGAAGTCATACATTGTTGTCTATGAGTTTCTTGTTCGGGTTTAGTCACGTAGCTAAATCCGGGAATTCTTTATTCCAATCAGAGGAAGGATTTTAGTGCAAGTCTTAGGTGTGATGTGTAGGTCTTATATTTCCAAGAAAAAATAGCTAGAAAAGCTGTAGTGTGTTGGCATTAGAGATCAGAGTAGCAGTGCATCGATAGTGGTAAACTACCCTGTGTGCCCGAAGTAAGAAAGTCTTTAGTATTTCAGTTCTAGCTGTGCTGAACTTGTGACAAAGTTGTGCTCAACCACAATAAGGATAGAGTGTATCTAGACCATAGGATCACTGTATTTAGAGGTCAATTCTCTTTCTTTGACCTCCCACCATTCATGACACCCCTAGTATTCTCCAATTTCTTGATCTAGACATGTGCGTTATTCTATCTGTGTTCTAAAAGTCTTGGTATATTTTTTTATTGGATAAAGTCATGGCTCTAGTTTGCATAGATTCCCTTGGATAGTTTAGGTAATAGGAAGATAGATTTTCACCATAGTGTGTCCTTTGGGATAAATTTGATACTCTTGAATACTCCGAGTTGAAGCGCTATATCAGTAATTTCATATGCTTGCATATCCATTTAGTGAGAACATAAGAAATACCAACACTATCAAGTCTCAAAATTCCATCGTCAACATATTGGTAAGGTGGGAGACGACACTGAAGTGGTCTCTCACTAGGGATTGTTTTTTCTCCACTCTGGTGATGGCAAATACCGAGTCACTCACAATCACAATTGGATCTCGTTCACAATATTCTCAAAGGGGTTATTGCACTCCTCCAGGCCTAGGAGGAGGTGACATCCAAGAGTATCAATGATCAAGTGCCATAGTAGCTCTAGCAATGATACAATATAGTTGTCTTGACTCAATCCCTCTCCAACACCAATAAGAGAAAATTTAAGTGCTCATGGTGTGAGAGTGAAGTATACATGATGCCAAAAGGAACTCCTTCTACAGGGGAGGAGTATAAATATGACAACCATCCCTAACTAGCTGTTGGGGCGAAGTCCCAACTCTCTGTGCATTGTTGGTCAGACTGCCCATGGTGGGATGGTTAGACTAATCCTTTGTACAACGGTTAGAAAACTAATCGTTGCCTATCACATCAAGCATTATGATCTGACTGGTCTCTTGGATCCTGTTAGACTAGCCTCAACTCCAGTCAGACTGACCTCAGACCATTTGTCAGATTGTTGGTGGCTCTGTATCACTTGCCTATCGGCTCAAACTCCATTGTACATCACCCCGATCAGATAGAGCCACATGGGAAGGGTTAATGTCCCATCATTATTTCCCCAGTGCTTATAACCAACTCCTTAGTAGTGATTATTATTAGTCAGCTCTATCTATTTTCATAACACAAGAGGCAACAAACCAAACATACTAGAATTTGGTAATCTTAAAACTTTCTACTCTCATAACTGTTGATATTTCTTAATGATATTACTAGGAACTTAATCCCAAGCAATGTTGCCAGAAATATTAAACAATTATCTTATAGGTTACAGAAATAAATCCACAAGCACACGGATATACCGCCGTAGCATTTCACCCAAAACTATTTTCAAGGTATCGTATTTATTTAATCCCAAGGGAAGATATGGTAAGAGAGTAATATGTTATAAATTCGTATTACACTTATGCAAATCAAAGTCTTATGCAGGGGTTAATCAATTGAGGATAGGGATAGATTTGACAAATAGAAGGTTCAGTTTAGAATACTCCCACTAAATTATAAGTCTAGGTTAAGCAGAGAAGAAATAAGAAAAGCATCTTTACTGTTCTTCTAGTATATAGTCCTTTTGGTGTACACTTGCTATTGTACAACTATGTGACTAATACCCCCTTAACTACACCCCTGATTACCGAGTTCCTTATTATGACAATCCGTCATGGCTATCCAACCGGTTAAAGATACAGATGAGTACTAGCACCAGGAACCTTTCTTAGCCCTATATACGCACGTGGAGGAATGCCCGTATCGAGCTGTCACCATCAGCGGCCTACCTCTATAGATCCGTGGCATATAGCACCACTTAATGATATCTAATAATCTAAGCATCGCGCTTATATTACTAAATATTACTCTACGTCTCTGCAGATGACATAAAACAACTATATAAATAGACACTAAGCCAATACCATTGCATATCTCTGATAAGCTAACCATATAATATAATTAACATGAGACAAGAATAAACTAAAGTCCGTACTCGAATAATTATGCAAGTAATGTGTATATATAATTGCTGCAAGTCTGAAACTTAATTTACTCTCTGCACTTAAAAGAAAAACTCTTGCTGCGTCTTTGCCCTAAACCCATAATATATTTATGGTATTTCAGTTTTTAACCCCGCCGGCTGTGAAAGTCTCTATAAGAGAATTTCTACTCAGATTAAACTGCAATGCTGCCCTCATGATTGTTTTTTTGAGTAAAATACACCGACAGTATCACAACTTATGAAGTGGGTGCAATTTAGTTACCCATATTGTAAAATACATGCTCAAACAAGTCACTCATTTTAGGGTGCAAATATCATGTGGGATGTTTTCGTAAGGTTAATTTCTTTCACAAATATTGTCATACATGATCCATAAATAAGCCAATGTGTAATACTGCTGGTAGTAAAATCCAGCTGAAGATAAATTTTGTTGTTGATTACCAAGCACTATATGACATGAAACATTCAAGTAGTCGCATACATAAAAAATATAAGCTTTGATTTGTATTTTTATTTCTTGCCTTGTCCACATGGTTAAGAAATGGATTATGTTAGGTCAGTACGGCTTTCAATTTGAAAACAAGTAGTCCATGTAACATGTATTTGATTAGATTTGCACCATTGAAACAAGATGAATGTCTCATTTGAGCATTTTGCAAAACACGAGTGACTAAATCGCACCCACCTTGCAAGTTGTGATAACACTAATGTATTTAACTTTTTTATATAAAAAATAAAGACGTGTCTTTCTTCAGTTTGCTTTGTGCATCGACGTGTGCATTTTTTTTTAAAAAAATAATAATTGTGGATCATTGACTGAGTTTGGTTCTGAATAATATAATTCATTAGTAAAATAACAGGAATTAAAGTCTAGAAATCATGAGGACAGAAGTTGCAGCGCAAAAAGTTTCTTTTCGGTAATTATTTTACCATCTTTGAGAAGGTATTAAAATGTATCATATTTTTTAACGTAAAATTTGGTATATCCATGCACCAAGTCATCGAGCTACCAAAAATTTTAATGTAAAATATAGATACCTGGAATCATAAAATTTCTCTTCTTTTCACCTGTCACAAAACCAATATGGTGATCACTGATATTATAGGAGTATCTGATATGAGTTTCATAAGTTCCATTGGACATAAATTTTATTTTTGATAGTCAACATCACTAGTCATTAATTTCTTCGTGACTTTGATATGAGTTTAATTTGCTGTAAATTTTTATGCGGGCCATGAAAAAGTACATTTTGCCCACACTGTTGGTCCCTTCATCAACATCGTATTATCGTGTCACTTTCTCTCTGTCCTGTTCTCAACAGAGAGGACATATGTACGTCATGGTCATGAGCCCCCTGCTGCGCACAATCACCTCCTGCGATTCGTTTTGGAGGCATGTGCAGTTAGTTTTCAACTGCGTGCATGAGATCGTTCAGTAAGGAGCAAATGCTAACCAATACTAAAATTTGAGCTAATTTTGGGTATTTGAAATCTTGGTGTTCCACATTTCACATTTTTATTTTACAACTAATTACAAGTTGCAACAAGCTCACCACTCAGCACAAGCATATTTACAAAATGCGATAATCATACAATATTAAGTCATTGACTAATAAGACAACATATGTAGAAACTTAGATCCAATTACGTTAATTAATCATCTCAAATGGAGATGTGGGATAAGGAGGAGCTTCTCCTTGCGGTGCACAGCCACCCCGAACGTCTCGGTCATATCAATACCTCCCTTCGCCGCCTGATCTGCTGGTAGCTCCCAGTCAAAGCGGTACACCAAATTTGCTAGCATGATCTCGATGGTGGCAATTGCAAAGTTTATACCTGGGCAGATCCTCCGCCCGCTCCCGAATGGCAAGAAATGGAAATTGTTCCCGTTGTAGTCACCTAATGTGTTAACGATGAATCGCTCCGGTATGAACTCGTCGGCGTTCTCCCAATAGTTTGAGTCCCTGGCCAAAGCCCATACATTGACTATGACACGAGTACCAGAGGGTATTGTGTAGCCATTGATATTACAATCAGATATGGAAAGATGCGGCATTAGAAGTGGTGCTGGAGGGTGTAGCCGAAGTGTCTCCTTGATGACCGCCTTTAGGTAGGGCATACAACCTAGTTGCTCTTCAGTAACTATGTCTTGCCCCTTTGGCATCACTCTTCTCACCTCGGCCTGCAGCTTTCCCATTACATGGGGCTTCTGCATCAGCTCAGCCATGGCGTATTCTAGCTCGATGAATGACGTGTCCATGCCAGCCATGAGCATGGCCGCCAAGTTTGCCTTGATGTTATCTTTAGTTAGGCCATATTCGTGCTGAATAGAGAGTAGGACATCGATGAAACCTGCTTCCTCATCGTAGTGGTTGAGCATCGAGGAAGACCTGATATGCTTGGTAGTATGGTCGTCAATGAGCTTTTCTAGCAGCTGGTCCCATCTCTTGTTGATGTTGTGTGCTTTGGCGCATGACAGTAGCAATCTCCTAACTGCGGCCAGCCTTGTAAAGCTAGGAAAGTAGTCCTCAATGTTGAAGCCACCAAGTAGCGATGTGTTTACCTTGACCAGCTCCCGAAGTAGTTGATTCCAACCTTCTTTCAGGGAGAACTTGCCACACACTGCGTGACACACTATGTTATTGGAGTAGCAACTTAACATCTCGGTCAGGTCCACTACCACATGTTTGGACGCCGCCTCAGTGATCCTGGCCATTACTATCCTCACCTCCCGTTGTCGTGCCGACACATAGGAGCGCACCTTCTTCATAGTCAAGAGATGTGTGGTGGTGATCTTCTTGATTTGCCGCCAATACTCGTTGTACGGGGAGAAGCCGACATCTGTTGCACCGTAAAAGAGGATGTTGGCTATAGGAGAGTAGGGCCGTGATGCGAATATGTCATCGTGCGTGTGTAGGATGGATTGTGCCACACGAGAGGATGACACCACTAGGGTTGGCACGGCGCCGAGGTGGAGGAGCATCATGTCAGGGCTATGCTTAGTGGCAAGGTCGCGGAGGGAGATGTGGGGCAAGGAGCCGATGAGGTGCAGGTGACCGATCACCGGAAGCCTGCCAGGTACCGAGGGGAGCTTGTCGAGTAGCTTGGCGCCGGACCTTGTGACATAGCAGCGCATAACAAGTAGGACAAGGAGAGGGAACAACAAGGACGTCATGAGCACGAGAGAGTACCACGCCATGGTGCCGGCCTGTGGAGGAGCTCCCAGCGATTCGTGGCCGTGCTCATGGCTGATCAGGCCATCAAGGAGGAAGGCTGCTAGCATTTGGGCCATTCAATATTGCTGCGCCTGCGCAATTAGTGGCCTTCGAAGAGCAAGCAAGCTAGCTAGGTAGATGAATCGAGGAATGAATTTTGAGTGGGAGCATTCCTTGTGGGTGGTTTCATTATTGATCTATAGAGGAAGAAGACTGTGGGGATCGACTGACGTGTCCTGTACTTAATTAAAGTAAAAATGACCGACGTACTCCTCTGTTAAAGTATGGTTTTGTTTCGAAGATACGATGCCCTATATACATAATTTTGTTCTGGGTGGCACTGAAACTTCTGTTTTTTTTTAAAAAAAAGGAACGTGAAACTTGTTTTGCAGGGAAACACTGACAATGACATGCCATCTGCTCTTTTATCTCTTGGACCGTTCGTAGCACCCATGGCTGGATTTTTTTTCAATTTTTGTTCCTTGTAAAAAATTATTTTAGAAATAGACCCCTGAAAAACTTACTCACTCTGTCCTGAAATATAACAACTTCTTCACTAAAATTATCTTCTCAACAAATTACAACCCTTCACCATTCAATTTTCTTGCCTACCTCCACTTCTCAATTAATCACAATCTTCTCCTAATTAATTTTACCTACTTTCTTAATACTTGGTGTCCAACCCTAAAAATCGTTATATTTAGAATTGGGGGGAGTGCTACTAAATAAACCTTTTTGGCGGCCCCAACTTATATGATAGGAGGTTGATGTCGTAACCCTTGGCCCATCTCCTGCTTGGTAGTATGTTGATGTCGTAACAGCTCTTTTGTGTCTGGCTGCCTAGCCCGTTTGGTACTCTTGATGGATTATTCTGACTAGCCGTCAACAACGCATGGGCTCTATATTATTATTGCTATTATAGATATATATATATATATATATTTCTATACTAAATAAGTTGGTTATTTTTGAAACACCATGGCTTGAATTGAAAGAAGAGTCCACCTCAGGTACACCTTGCTAATTATTAATATCAAAGTTTAGCACCAAATTAATTAAAAAAAAGCTAAATTCAGACTCCATGATAGATATAACGACTCCATATTTACTAATCCTAAACTATTTCTAAATTAGGGAAATATTTAAAGTATACTGAAAGAAAATTATTCATTCTGAATTATTGATTATATTAATGAAGTGCTACATTATTGAGAGTCCAAGATGGGTTCAAACATACATTTAACGCGAACTCATATAAAATAATTTATTCAAACCAAACGCTTAATTTTATTTATGGTTATGATGATAATATATATTTAATCGCAAAATTTAAATCGAGAGCTTTCTCGATTTAGTCATAACGAGCGACCCTATCAGCCATCGTCCACATACGATAGCCATTGTACAGACATGTGTCTTGAAGAATCTTGATCAAGCAAGTAGAAAAAAAATATTCCTACTATCTATGTTTTAAATAAAATTTTCTCTTAAGTTACTCATCCGAATTACAATCCGATTACACCATTGTGTTCGTAACAATTAAATCTTTACAACAATATCTCACATGATTATATTTTGATAGAAAATCACAAATCACTTTTATAATATATTTAAATTACTTTTAGATTTCACTGAGTTACTTCTTAAACATATAAAATATAAAAGTAAATTCAATGAAGTTTTAAAGTAATTAATATATATTATAGAAGTAGCTTAGAAAAAAAAGAAGGTGACTTTGGCGTGACGTTTGAAGTAAATCTATTATAGAGATAAAAAAATATATCTCTATCTAGAAATTAAATTAATCCACAGAAATTATGGAATTGACTAAAAATAGTAATGAAAGTAATCACCTCAGAGCATTATGAATGTATGGAAGTAATTTAATCAAATCTAAAAGTAACTTATATATATGATAAAAGTAACTTATGTATATAACAAAAGTAATTTACAAACATAATTTTTTATCATAATATAATCATGTAAGATCTTGCTGTATAGATTTAATTACAACGAACACAACGGTGTAATCGGATCGTAGATCAGATAAGTAATTTAAGAGAATATTTTATTTGAAATAATGAGGATGCAAGTGGTAGGTGTTACGTATTCATTAAAGGTACTTTCTTTTTTTTATAAGTTACTTCTATAATATATGTAAATTACTTTTAGGCTTTATTGAATTACTTTTATATGTCTAAGAAGTAATTTAGTGAAATCTAAAAGTAATTTAGATATATTATAAAAGTAATTTATATTTTTTCATCAAAATATAATCATGTAATATCTTGTTATAAAGATTTAATTATTATAAACATAACAGTGTAATCGGATCATAGGTCGGATAAGTAATTTAAGAGAAAATTGTATTTGAAGTATAGGTGGATAGTGTCTATCATAGATGGAGTTGTAGCTGGTTTAGACCACTGGCTGTATAATCACGTCCATATTTAATTGATGGCTAAATCTTCCTTCTCAGTTAGAGTCAGTAAACCATCTGTTACACGGGTTATTATTACACGCATCACCATTCATACAAACTACACTAACACACCTTTCGGTATGCCTTTTTAAGCAACTAAGATGAAGGCTCAACTTTAAATCTATGAACTCGAAATTCTTGTTATAAATAGTAGTCATCCATTGATCCATGTGGAACAATACAGTGGTTAATTTTTCAGTAGAAATTTTATTAGCATCAATTTAACTGGTTCTTAAAAACCAATTAATTAATGTGCGTACTTAAATACTAATCACAAACAATGGTTCATCTTTTTCAGAAGAAACCTACTTAGCATCCATTCAACCGGTTCTTAAAAACCAATTAATTAAAGTGTATATTGAAATACTAAATCACCTTAGACAATGCTAATATGATTAGTGAAATATAGTTAGAACCCACATTATGAAGTTATATTAGATATCTTAAAGGTGCTGGTGCTGCTCTCCGAGCGATTTGGGAGGCCAGCGCCCAATGCGACCTCGACACGTCATAACAGATAAAAAAAATTACTAATCGTTAGATTAGCTGAGAGCCCAGCCGATCCACTCATCAATTTTTGCAGAAAACCCCTCCTTATTTTGATATTTCCGATCGAGTCCACTGAATAAGAGCCGTTCAACCCCACGCGTGGACACAATCTGGCCGTTCATATCTTATCTAGTTGTTATAAAAAGGCCACATCATCATTTATTTTTAACACTCGGTTTAATGGTTCAGTTTTGTACATAATCTTTTCTAGCCTACATAAAAATAGTTTTTTGGATGTTGGGTAGTAATTTAGAAAACACAAAGTACGCACCAACCCATAGCAATGGACATGACAAAATAGCGCTAGCGCTGATTACAGGCAGCCCGAAGGCAATGTGCAAACAAATTAAGGATTCGATAAAATAGCTCTGATTGTGTGTGCATGCATACTAAACAGAACAACTAACAGTTACCAAGTTCTACCTTATATATACTATTTTTTCTACTATGCTCGGTTATACTTTGGGCTGGTCAAGTCATTTTTCTTAACATTATCAAATTATTGCTACATACGTACGTACGTGTATATATATATATATATATATATATATATATATATATATATATATATATATATATATATATATATATATATATATATATATATGTATATATATATATATATATATGTATATATATATATGCATATATGTATATATATATATATATATATATGTATATATGTATATATGTATATATATATGTATATGTATATATGTATATATGTATATGTATATGTATATGTATGTATGTATGTATGTATATCCAACTTTCATGCATTATGATACGTTTAAGGCGTGGATGATTATCATAAGAGATTCCCACCATATCAAAAGATTCGCGTTCTTGAAAATCGGAACTTCTCCAAATCCAGAAGACAGATGGGATTCTAGGATTATCCTTTTGGACAAAGACTTTTATGCATACTTCTTCTGGGTTATCTATACCATACTGTATTCTCGTAAGATGATACACGCTAGCTAAAGATCCACCGGGTGCAACGTCATAAGCACATTGGGAACGTAAATAATTATAGCCATATACATATAAAATGACAGCAATGAAATCCCAATCCTCTGCTTTTATTTGCAAAGTCTCTATTCCTCGATGATCGAAGCCCAAAGATCTATGAACCACTCATGTTTGACTAGCCAATTAGATAACCAACCCTGCTGCATTATCTTGATCTCTCCTCCTTTGTATAAATATTTCGCAGTTCGAATGCAAGTTTGAAATATTGCCCTGCTCTTTCTTTTTCGGCACAAAGAGCTCCTCCTAATTCACTAATTTGTAGGAAGATACTGGACTTTTGGATTTGAAAAAAGTTTCAGAAGATATGTCTAAAGTAGATGATGATTGATAGAGCAATTCTTGCTCATAAGTTCCAGTATTAGTACTGCGCCGAACATAAAGCTTGTGGCTGGTAGTAAAACATCGATTTTTCTTTTGAGATAGAGTTCGATCCTCAACTATTTCTCGCGATATCTTCTTATGAAGTTTTGTTAGGGTATCTATAACAGCCTCTGGTTTAGGTGGGCAACCCGGCAAGTAGACGTCCACAGGAATTAACTTATCAACTCCCCGAACAGTACTATAGGAATCCGTACTGAACATTCCACCAGTAATAGTGCAAGCTCCCATAGCAATGACGTATTTTGGTTCAGGCATTTGCTCATATAATCTCACTAAAGAGGGAACCATTTTCATTGTTACTGTATCGGCTATTAAAATTAGGTCCGCTTGCCTAGGACTTGATCTTGGTACCAATCCATAACGATCAAAGTCGAATCGTGAGCCTATTAATGAAGCAAATTCAATGAAACAACAACTGGTACCATATAGAAGGGGCCATAAACTAGAGAGTCTTGACCAATTCGAAAGATCTTTTAGTGTAGTTGAAATAACGGAATTAGAACTTGTTTGGTCAAGTAGGGGAAACTCAATCAAACTCATAACTGTCTTAATGGAATCTTTTCCTTCTTTTTTTTGTCTGAATATTCAGTTAAGACCATTCCAAGGCTCCTTTTTCGCCATGCATAAACTAAACCAACAACTAGGATAAGCACGAAAATGAAAGCTTCGATAAAAACGGATATACCCAATACGTCGAAACTCATTGCCCAAGGGTAGAGAAAGACCGTTTCCACATCAAAAACAACAAAAACTAGCGCAAACATGTAATAGCGTATTCGGAATTGTAACCAAGCCTCCTCCCCCCATGGGTTCTATACCCGATTCATAACTAGAAAGCTTCTCTGGTCCTTCACGAACCGGAGCTAAAAGTGCTGAAATCCAAAATGCTAAAAAATAGGAATAAGGCTTGCTATTATTAGAAATGCCCAAAAAATATCATATTCATGAAGCAGAAACATAAATGTACTCCCATTAATGTGGAATAGGCGGAACTGAATTAGTCAATTCAAGTCAGCATTGTCAATTTATACAGAATTTCTCTCTTTTCCTCGGTGAAACAAGGATCGGTT